CACATTAATTGAATTAAACTGAAACAGGACATTGTCATTATCAAAAGTACAACACTGCATCTGTAGGCTGAGTAATACTTAAAGCTGGTCATTCATTTCTAGACATTTCCATCCAGGAGCTTATATTTTGCAGAGATGATGCATAACGACACTTACAGATGATTAAGCACACAGGTGGCTATGGCTGTTAAAGGACAGTAAAAAATTCAGCTTCTCTGTAAAATTGTACATGGCAAATCTTAAGTTTTAAGTCTTTAAAAATATTTAGCAAGTTACATTAAATAATGCTTGAGGAATACAAAGAGAAGTTAGGACCAAGATATTAGTTGGGTGTAGATGTGCACACCTATAATCCTAGCATTCAGGAGGCCTAGGTAGGAGGATCACAAGTTCAAGGGCAATCTGAGCTACATAGCGAGACCCTGTCTCCAAAAAAAAAAAAAAAGACACATTCTGTGGGCAGAACCAGAATGAGAACAGTTTCCGTTTCCTTGGAATAGCTTTACTTAACAGCTGCTACATGGTGCAGCTGCAGGATAGCAGTCAGCAGGTATGTGGTCTCTGAACTCACTAGACTCTTAGCTTATAGTAGGCAATACCTTTTGCTTTACATTTCAGTTAGTCCTTTAATAATTATGCAATAGTTAATTATCCCAGTCTTAGTAGTAAGATAACAGAGGCTCAGAGAGGTTAAGCAACTCTCCCAGAATCACATAGATAATGTCAGGGTCAGTACATTGGAAAACATAGTGCCCAATTATTGCTTTAGGGCTACTTCCTGTGACTTACTGCCAGTAAGCTGTTGTTCTGGTGTTAGAATGTCTCAGAATCTTGTTTTAACTATCTTTCCTGACCATGATGAAGCAATCATATAGCCTACAGGATATTCCTTTTTGTTGTTGACACAAAAGATCTTCCTACTTTCCCTCTTTCTTCCCAGATATTTCACTCTTTCCAGCATTATCTGATAGGCTTTTTTTTTTTTTTTTTCTTTTTGGCAGTACTGGGGTTTGAACTTGTGGCTTCTGCACTTGCTAAGCAGGTGTTCTACCACTTGAGCCATGCCTCAGCCCTGGTAGTCATTCTTAAATGCTGTTACTTAGAAGGGAAAACATTTTAAATATCAGTGTCAGGATAGATTTTATGTACATTTTGGGTTTCTCATTTATTTTCTCATTAAACCTAGTAGGTTCTGTAAAACTCAGAAGCAAGTGAATGAAATCTGCCTTGTGAATCCAAGGCTGTAGTTTCTTCATCAGCAAGACTGACTTGCTTATATTCATGATTTGCATGAGGAGGTAGCTAGACCTCTAGGGGTATAATTGACTCCTTTAGGACCCTGTTGTTGATCTTTCTGCAGCTGTAAGCCCTGACCCACCTCTCCTCAGGCCAAAGGAGCACTCTGGTGGCCTGGACTGCACACTGACTGGTTATTCCCCAGCTGGGAGGATGATGGATGTCCTTACACTCACAGCATCCGCAGTTGACCACAGAACTGTAGATTAACAGAACAAAGAGATGAGAGGACAGCAGGTGTCCATGAGTCCCTTTCTGTGGTCTGGGCTTCTCCTGGGCAGGCAGCACAATATAGCTGTGAGTCAGAGTGATGTTTCTCACCCTCACTTTAACATAAACATCTGTTTCTGTCTTCCAGGTTGACTCATTTGGGCTTTTTCCTCCAAAAACATTTCAAAGACTCTGCAACTTCCCTGTGTATATAGGCAGCCATCTAAAGAGCCCCCAGCCAAGAGTAATACTCTCATCCCTGGTGTTGGCACCTGGAAGCCTCTGCCTTTTAAGGGCCAGGAGTGGGACGACTCTAGGGGAAAGCTTGAAGGAGGTGGCCATTTACAGTGCCCCAGCAGTGACAATTTCAGTGTTTAGTTGAAGCACCTGGCTAAATAGCAGCTTTGTCCTCAGTGTTCCTGACCTTCAGCCTTGTGCCCACGTATTAGTGTACAGGACCCACTGCCTTAAATAGAGCTCCTACAGCCAGCAAGGGTTGATCACACAGTCCTGGAAGGGCTTAGAGGCCGATTCTATTTGCTTCCAACACATAGGAATCAGCTGGCCTTGATCAGAGCCTAGCACTGCTAGATGTGTGAAGGACAGGAGAATCGGCCTCTAAGCCCTTCCAGGACTGTGTGATCAACCCTTAGGGTTATAGATGCAAGGAAGTGGAGAAAACAGGCATGTAGATATTTTTCAAACAGCTTTTATTATGCCCACTGTAGAAAGTTTTTCAGAATTGTTTTAGATTTTAGATTTCAAATTTGGGAATGTTTGCATATACATAATGAGGTATCTATGGAGATAGGACCCAAGTCCAAATAAGACATCCATTTATGTTTCTTATATACCTTATGTAATTTTTTACTTCTTCTTTCTTTCTTTTTTTTTTTTTTTTTTTGAGGCAGAGCACACTTGCTAGGCAGGTACTCTACCACTTAAGCCACATCCCCAGCCCTCTTGGAAAATTTTTTTTTAGTGACCTGTATTGTGACTGTTTCTGTTCACCTGAGGTCAGAATTTTCCACTGTGCATCATGTTGGCACTCAGGTTTCAGGTTTTGGAACATTCTAAGTTTTCAGAGTAGGGATGCTCAACCTGTACTGCTTAAGTATGATAAAAGGAATAATTATAACTACCATAATCCCATGACTAAAACATAAATTGTTGTTAATGGTTACTAACACTTAAACTTATTTCTTTGTTCCCTTTTCTAAACACATAATTATTTTTAACATGGTCATAGTCATACTGAAGATTCAATTTCCTATGTATGTTGCCTTGTAAACATTTTTGTGCTCCATTTAAAAAATTTTAATGGTCATCTGAATGACTGTAAAATAAGAAATTAAAGGAAGTTCAGTCAAATCTTCATTAAATCATTAAACAGTTAACAAATTTTACTAAAACTTCCAAACTAAATCCAGGGTCATAACTTGAACATGTCACTTGGCAAGGAACCAAGTGCTTTGGATCCACATATTCAGCCCTGTGTAGAAGAGCCTCAGACTTAGAAGTTAAATGAAGCTCTAAAGTTTACACCATGAGTGAAAACCCAGAACTAAAATGTAGCATGTGTCAGCTTTTCTGTTTCTTTTCTTTCTTTCCTTCTCTTTTTTCTTTTTGGTGTTTTGAGATAGTACAGTCTGGCCTGAAATTCACTGTGTAGCCCCAGAGGGGGCCTCAAAACTTGTGATCCTCCTGCCTTGCCCTCCTGAATGATGGGATTATAGGCATGTGTCACTACACTTTGTTTTTTATTCCAGTAATGTACAAAGCCTGAGGATATATTCTTTCTTGCTGTGGCACCAGTAGAGTGGGTGGACTTTTAGGAGGCTGGTGCAATTCAGGGTGTTTGACAGGTTTTATTAAACTTTGGTTTAGCAGTAGGTGTACTTCAAACTGATGCAGCTGTAACTTCTGTTATTCAGCAGATACTTCTTCAATTTGAAGAACATATTCATTGGTGGCCATAACACAGGTCTTTGGAAGGTTATGTAAGAAAATACATTTTTGTCAAGAAGAAAAATTCCATATCCTACTTCTGTGTCCTGTCACTTAAATTCTTTTCAAGGACATTTTGATTTGTTATGTTGCAATGTGATGTTGCCTGAAAAACCCAAAGCCATTAACAGTGAACAGACATGATAACTTCTGTTTGCTATCTGAAAGAAAAGTGAGAAAAACAAAGTGAAGAAAGCTCAGTGCTGATAGCTTAATACTGGGGCTTAGGCTAAATATTTATTTTCTTCAGTGTGATAAAAACATCTTACACGTAACTAAGATAGTGGTAACAATTCATATAAATTAGATGACTAAGCTAGTAAGATCTTTTAAAGTAAGTAGTTAATACTCCTGAGAGCTCTAATAAGATTGTTTTTTATGATGTAGGTATTTATGCAATTGTACAATAAAATAATATCTTCCATACTGGATTAATACCTATTCAGTTTTATTATAATTATTCAATGAGTTTATAAGATACAATGTCTCAAGAAAATAGTGTAGTAGTAAGTGAAAATAACCATATCTGAATTGGACCAAATCAAAAAGAATGAGACACATTCAGTAATAACTGTGTGGTGTGGGATATTCCTGTTAGCGGGGCAAATCTGAATTTTGTGGGATTCCTGTTAACTGTATGATGAACCAGAAATGATTCTGCCTTTAAACATGAGTGTATTAGTCTGTTTTACGTTACTATAATAAAATACCAGGTTGAGTAGCTAATAGAAGAAAGTTTATTTAGCTAATAAGTTTTGGATGCTACATGTCCAAACAGCTTGATGCTGGCTCTGTTGAGGGTCTGCTGCATCACATCATGACAGATGGTACCATTGTGGGAGCAGTTATGAGATAAAGAGATCACATGGCGAGACCAGAATCCAGAGCACCAAGAGGGAGCAGAACTGCTGTTTTATCACAACTGCTCTCTTGGGAGCTATCTCAGGGTCCTGCATCAGTTCCTTACAAGAGCAATTGCCCATGAAACCTTAGACCCCACCTCTTAAAGGTCCCACCATCTCGACATCAACACATTGAGGGCCAAGCTTCCAGAACATGAACAGACTATGCCCAAACCACAATGAGTGTTAATAATTACAAAAAGTGAAACATTAGCTCAGTACCTGCATTTCAAGATGTGCCACTGGGTGCTTGTGCTACAATACAACTGGAGTTAAAGACAGGACATGCCTCTTCTGTGGGTTTTTCATGATTATTGTTGTTGACCCAAATTCATCTTGGAGTAAGTTGGATTTGAAAGTTCTCATTAAATTGTGCTGATCCTAAAAGTTGTCCCCAAACTGTACCCTCTGTACTATATTTACAAACTGAAATGACTGCGGATATCAAATGAAAGAAGATTCTATTTCCCTTGGAAAATAAATCCTTTTTTTAGAAGTTCACATCAATAATCTTTTTAGACTTCAGAGTTTTTTATTTTCGTGATGCGGGGAAGCTAATGTGTAACCATTCTGTTCCTTCCCCAGTGCCCTGCCAGACAGTCTTAGATTACCTGAAGACAGTGCTGCAGCACCACAACCAGCTCCTGATGCCGCAGCCCACCGACCAGCCAACCGAGGTAGGCCTCTGGGAAGGAGGAGGAGATTTCCACATAGAAGATGAAGCCTGTTGACTTCATCTATACCAGAACAACCAAATGTGGTTTTGACTGTCTGGGTTTATGGTTCTGTTACCTGGAGTTACATAGTCTGGAAAAAGATCATGCATGGATTTAACTCACAAAGAGTCACCTCTGTACTCTGAGGGGGAAAGAAAGAGGAAATGGCAATTTAAATAGCACAGACAATGCTTCCACCTTCCTTTGACACAGGAAAGGCCTGAGAGACACTGCACCTTGGCATGCCCTCAGCACCAGTGTTTCAGCCTGCTGCTCATTCTGCAGTATCTCCCATACTGATATTCTCCAGGGTTTAGATGCAGTGTTTTCCACACACTGGGCCCTGTGAACATGAGCCATTTTCTTTCTGTGGATCTCAATAGAAACAAGTCTCCCAATGTGTAGGACAAATGATGTTTTGATGGTAATGGTGTATTCACTTTAAACTGGTGTGTTTTTATAAGATATTCAAGGATCGATCTTAAAAATACATTATTTTCATTTTACAAACTTTAAAAATACGGGCTGTTACCATGAGTATCAAACACACTCAAGTCTTGACCCTTTTGACTCTGCCTTCCTCAATTACCCTTCTTTTCTCCTTCTCTTACAATATGCTCCCAGAGCATTCTCTGCCAGCACTTTTCCTGCTGCACCACGACACAATTGGGCCCAGGTCTCATCCCTATTAGTACCCCCAGTGCATATCCTAGAAGGCACACAGTTCATACTTGACTGGTCTATCTCTGTTATCTCTAATCTCTTAGTTTCCATTTGCCTTTCCACCCTGTAACCTCATTACTCCCCAGAATGTTCTGCAGCAGCCCCTGGTGCCTTCTCCAGTTGTCCTGTCCAGGGACCATTTTCTAGCTTGGTCCTCCAGGTCCTTACCTCCTCCCCCCTGGCCCTTAGTGTCAGTGGTCTCTTTTAGCTCTCCATCCCTTTCTCATTGAGCTTTCATGAGTTTTCCATCCATTGTTGCCCAGAATCACATCCTTCATCCTCTCTTGCTCTTACTGCTGTCTTTCTCTGGTCAGGTACAATTCTTCTCATAATAATCCACAACATAAAGGTTAACAAGTGTATTGAAAGCACTGGTTCCCACAGCCCAACCCCACTGCACTGTTAGCTGCCTGACAGGCACTCTGGTGCTCACACACCCCTCAGCTTCAGCATACCTGCTGTGAACACCCATTTTCACATTTTTCCTTTAGGATAGGTCCTGCTGAACCCAAATTGAAGTTCCTAACACATCTCTGCCTCTCCAATGCCTTATTCCTGACATCCTATGTGAATTGTCTCTTCTCTCTGGTCACTCTACGACTTTCACCTGGACTACTATAGCATATTCTTTCCTCTCCATTCTCCACATAGAAAGTCATCTTCCTAAATCATATATCCACACTAAATGTTACATGCATAAAACCATTTCATTACTCCCTAAAGTCCACCTTCCTTAATTTTATTTTTCTTTTTGGCAGAACAGGGATTTGAACTCAGGGTGGTGGACTTGGTAGACAGATGCTCTGTCACTTGAGCTATACCTGCAGCCCTTTTTTGCTTTATTTGGAAAAATAATTTTCCAATAGGGTCTTGCATTTTTGCCTAGGACTGGCCCCAGATTATGATCCTTCTACCCTATGACTCGCCTCACATAGCTAGGATTATAGGCTTGAGCCATCATGCCTGGCTTAATTTAGCATTTTGTCATACAAAAAAAAAGAAGAAAAAAAAAACACAGGAAAAACTCACTGCCTCCCAAGAAGCTCTCTCCAATTGGCCCTCCTTTGGTTTGTGCTCATGAAGTACATTGTTTGTAAGTCTATTCAAAACTAGCCATCCAGTTGCTCAATAGCAAATCTACACTTGTGTCTTCCATTTGGTTATGAGTTTGTGAAGACATTGAGGTTCATTCATCCTGGCTTTTTTTGGCAGGAAGGAGAGGGGAGGAGGTTGAACTCAGGGCCTTTGCTTGCTAGGCAGGCCCTCTACCACGTGAATCACTCTGCCAGCCCTCATCCTGGCTTTTTTCCAAAGTGACTCAGTAGTAGGTCAGAGTTTAATAACCTGTTGGTTGAAGAGGATACAGAGTCACAATTACATAAAAATGGGGGAAATATCTGTATTTCCCTAGGATAGGACTATTTAAACTTTTATTATCCATCATTACCATTATTACTATACTATTTTTATTGTCATTTCAGGCACATGAGTATTTTCTCATTTTTATTATTTATCACATTTTATTTCCATTAACTATGCTAAAACTGGATTATAACTCTCATCCATAACCCACAAGGCATTTTGAGTTGTGTTTTGGGCTGTAAATTACTTGTTCTCTTTCTTTTCTTGTTTCCTGATGAAAATTATGCCCAAATGGTATTTCTACATTTTATGAGACCCATATTTTATGAAGAGTTTCTGCTTTTGGAAGAATGCTGAGCTCTTCTGTGAGTAGAGTTTTTACAGATTTGAGGAAGCACCTGTCTTAGATTATCAGTTCCCCAGTCACAAGTACCCCTGTTCCCCATCTCAATATAGAATCGTTTAGGGGCACAGCATCAAGGAGTAAATGATGAACTTGGAGACAGGGTTCTCCAGCTCTGCCTCCTCGAGTTATGAGAGAGATCTTGGGAAAGGATGTAACCTCATTGGTAAATTATAGCAATAATGCTGCTTTGCTAGTGAGCTCACACATCAGAGGGTAACAGTTTAAAATCATATAGTGTTAAATACTTTTAAAAGCACTTATACACTCTCTTTTCTAAAGGTAGCAAGTGTATTTATAGGAACCATAAGTAAAGGAGGATTTTAAATTAAGGATGTGGGAGTCCCTTTTTAATGGCCCCTTGTCTCTTTTGCTCTCTTTAAAAGTTCTTAACTTTGCCAATTCATATTAATCAGGAGCTCTCCAAGTATCCCAGTTCCACAGTGGTTTTAAAAAAAGAGCAGGATGCCGGTGTCTCATGCCTGTATTCTTAGCTATTTCGGGAGGTTGAGATGGGGTGGAGGATGTTGTGGTTTGAGGCCAGCCCACACAAATAGTTTGAGGAATACCATCTTCAAAATAATCATAGCAAAATGGACTGGAGGTGTGGCTCAAGCAGAGCACCTGCTTTGCGAGCACAAAGTCTTGAGTTCAAACCCCAGTCACACCAAAAAAAGTAAGAATGCTTTATCTACAGCCACCTTTGTTGAGTGTCTCCTTGTGCCTGTCATGGTGTGCTGTCACACTGAGTCATCATTCAGCAGGTGCACTGCTATGTGCCAGGTGCTGCTTTCAGCCCTGGGAGCAGGGCATTGTATACAACACAGAAACCCTAGCCCTCGAGCTCTTTGGTAGACTAGAGGATGCCTTACCACAAATCAGCAAGCTGGCATTATCTCTATTTTGACAGAAAGCTGGAGATGAGAGAAGTTAGTCGCCTCCCCGAGGCGAGCGCAGGGCCCAGCTTTGTAATTGCCTGGGCTTGGGGAGGAGGAGGAATCCTGAGTGCAGAATGCTTGGGACAGGCGCCTCAGGCTAGTTAGCAGTTGCTCATAAATGGAGACCACTGTATTGAAGTTCTTCCACAGAAGTGCTTTTACATAGTTAGTGGTTCTGAGCCAGCCAGCCTAGGAACCTGGCCCCACCTGGCTCTCCTGAGAACCCTAATAAATCCTTCCCAGCCATACCCTCTGTATCTTTGAGTAAGACATTTCACTTAGGAATCCTCTCTCTTTCCTTGTCTCCCATACCCTTGTTGGCTGCTTGGCCCCCTTGGTTGATTCTGCATCTCTCATTCCCTCTCTCCATCTTCACTGCCCCGGACCCACTCATACCACATACCTCCTTGCTGTGAAAGGAGAGCCCAGACCGAAAGAGCCTGTGAGTCCTCCATTCCTGCCTGACTTCTGTTCATCTCTGGACCCAGGGTTGTTCCCTGTTGTCCACAGAGCCAGTTGGCCTGTGCTCTCAGATGTTCACTTTGTAAGCTCATTTTAATGTGGGTCTTCTGTTTTACAGATGGGAAAACTGCTACAGTAAGTTCAAATAACTTGCTCAAGTTAATCTAATAGGACATGGAACTGCATTCATTTTAAACCCAGTCTGTCCCTAAATTCAAAACACAAACCACAGCTTCAACTGCTTCCATTAAAAAAAAGTAAAACCAAGTCACACTGCTTCTTTCAGGAAAATGTGAATGCTGAAATGCTGGGTTTCTATATGTACAATTTAGTGACAGATTCCTAGCCAGGTCTGGCTCTTTCCTGTTGGCTTCTATACTATTTACTCTCTCAGTGCTTAACTAAGCAGAGCACTTTTTGAAATAAAACCCTGTCAGACCCAAACAGTGCCAAATTTATAACCTGTAGTAAATTTGCACAGTTGTAAAACTAAATGAGTTTTCCCTTTATTTTGTACACCTTAATTACTGGGGAAGGAGTACATTAAAACTGAGATCATGGGTTAATTAATTTGTCCTGGACTGTAGAATTTTATGGAAAACCAGAACTAAAGTAATGGTCATGTAGGTGCAGTTGACTAAACATGACTTATAAATGTTACAGAAATTCCCATAATTAGTCCCACTGCAGCTATTTATTTAGTCTGGGAAATTTATAGTAGACAAATTATGAAGGTGAAAAGTAAGAAAAATTTTGAGTTGACATAGTGGCATTTGCAGAAGCTGCAATTTGAGGAAATCTGTTTTGCATTATTGTTAGTGGGTTTTTTTTTCTTCAGTTTCTACAATTCTTCCCTTTTAAAATTCACTCTTTAACATTGCTTCCACTGTAACGCAATGACTATCAGGTGTTAGGTGCATTAAACACAAGTAATGCCTTATTAAAATAGATCACCAGCAGCATTTCTAAAGGTACTTAACTGCCAGCGGAAGGATGAAGGGACCTGTTTGATCACACTCTTCAAAGTCATTTTTGCATATTTCAATAGATTGAAAAGGAAAGTTACAGGTTATATTTAAATAGTGTTCCCTGTCATTGGATCTTGACACATTTTAACCTACCTGTTAAAATGCAAGATATAAATAGGTCCTCTTTCAAAGGTGTTCATTATACCTCATTGGCTCTTGTTATAGAAAATGCAAATGTAATTTGAAAAGTGCCCGTTGTGAGTGTGAGCAATTACTCCTGCTCTTCAGTACTTGGTTCATTGTCAGCATAGCCACTTGGTTAAAAAGCATGTTTGCCTTTGAAATGGAGATCGCTTTGGCTTCTGCCTGGCTGGCTCAGTAACTAATGAGAAAATATTTTGCTTTTCCAGGGAAGCAAGCAGCTGTTGAACAACTATCCTGTCTACATAACGAGCAAACAGTGGGATGAGGCTGTAAATTCTTCAAAGAAAGATGGGAGACGGCTCCTGCGATACCTCATCAGATTTGTTTTCACAACCGATGAGCTTAAGTACTCATGCGGCCTTGGGAAAAGGAAAAGGTCAGTGCAGTCAGGAGAGACAGGTCCCGAAAGACGCCCTCTGGATCCAGTTAAAGTCACATGCCTCCGAGGTACTGCATCCTTCCGCTCAGTGTCCACTATCCGTGATCCCATTTCACTGCATTGGCTGTGGCTCCCCGTACAAGTGTTTAGCCTTGCTGTGTTTTGATTTCTTTCCACTGAGATCTTACAGGCTTCATGTGGCCCGTCTGTTTGGTATGAGAAGCTCTGTAAAGAAACCTTTTGTTTGCTTTAAACTTGCTGTTCTCACTTAGTGGTACATATTGCATAGCACCTCATGTTTCACGCTTTAAATTCAGATTTTCTTTGCTGCCACGATGGCCACTTCTGGCAGAACTGGAACAAAGGGAAATGCACATGGGAAGGAATTTTAAAAAATGGTAAAATGATATTGTTTCCATTTTAAGCCTGGGCCCCTGTCTGGCTTCCTTCTCAAGAAAAGTTGGCCCGACTCCTTAATTTGTTTAGAATTAATTTTCCTTAGTGACTGAAGTATACCTTACTCAGTAAGACTTTATTTTTTAAAGTTTTTTCATAAAAAATACCACTTAAATAATCCCATTTCATTAACAAGTGATGACTTTATAGCTGAGCTACACAGTTGCAGCCAGGCAGAGGGTAGGGAGGAAGAATCAGGAGGTGCAAGTTGATTGATCAGGGGCAAATAAACAAATACTTAGACAAATAGAAACCTTACAGTGCCAACCAGAACACTGTCACACCGGCAACATGCCTCTCAGAAGCTCAAATGTTATCTGGTATAGTTCAATAGCAATTTAATTGGCTAGAAAGACCTAATGTTGATTTAATCTAGGCCGAATCAAAATTTTTCCTAGTGAGGAAGTTGCAGTTTAAAAACATTATTGGTAAGGCTTTGACTATTAGAAAGTATAATCCTGCACTTCCTCCTGGGGTGCAGATTTACTAATCCTAGGCATTTGAATCCTGAAGCCTTAGGTGCTTAAGGTGCATAGGTAGTATTTGTTTGCAGCTGAGATTCCCTGCGCCACCCCAGAGATTCTTATTGATCAGGCTGGAGAAGGCCTGGTCACTATCACCCTCGCTAATTTTGATGCTGTCAGTCTGTGCCTGAGGAAGCCACAGAAATCCCAGTATGAACCTGGGCATTAGTGCTGCAGAGCAGCTCCTATTGGCCAGTTTGAAAATTCCACTTACTCAGAGTGACTGGCTGATGGAAATTTCCAGGGTTCTATCTTAAGGACTGGCCAGTTTTCCTTATTCTCCAACGTTAGCAAAGATTATAGAGTTACTCACCAAAGAGGCAGTGTTGAGCTTGGGGGTTGGACAAGGGTGCACTCTCTGTGTATGCAAAGAAGTTGCCCTTAGGGTTATAAAGGAGCCAAGATATAAGGGTGTCACAGCTCTTTACCTCTCCAGAAACTTTATTTACATTTTACATATTAAAAGTGAGTCAGTGAAACTGGGAGATTAAAATACATCACAGAGAACCAGTGCTGCTGCCGTGATACTGGTACGACAGGTGCGCTGTCGTTCTGGTGCTGTCCTGGCTGCCTAGCCAGAGCCTGCATTTTGCAACATGGTTCTCACGTGGAGCCCCACCCCATGGCTGCTGTCCAGCCGTCGAGTAGAAAATACGTACGCAAGAAACAGGGACTATCTTTTGGAATCCTTTGAAGTTACTCCCTCTCTGAGGCATGCACATTGCTTTTTTGGTGAAGTTAAATACTTAGATGGGATGACATTTAAAAAATTCTTTACCTAGTACCTGTGTAGATACTGTGGCAGAGGAAGAAGTGTAGCTCATCATGCAACATTCTAAGAATAATAAGGAAAGCTTTTCTAAACTAAAATGAAGTCACCTCACTCATTGAGACCCTGTTATTTTATTGTACTCCATTTTCAAACTAGCAGCTGGTTAGTGAATACCATGCTGATGATATTTGCTATCCTTCTGGAGAAAGTTAATTTTCTCAAAATGGGTGCAGGTAACAACGTAGGTTTTGAAATGTACTCCCTAGTTTACATGAGGCATGGTGCACACCATGTTTTCCTAATCAGACTTAAACTTTCTTTTCAACAGCTCATGTTCTATAGAGGGCTACCTCTTACTTGTGTGAATTTTACTTTTGTGCGTGAGAAGATTTGTGTGGAATAAGCTGGGTGTAGTGCGTGACATCCTCATGGCATTGCATTGGCTCTCCCATGCAGCTTTTTTGATAGAGCTTCTGTGAACATGTAAGCAGCCTGTCCTGTCATCATCTGTCAAAACCAGCTGTGTTTTTCTCTCTCTCTTTTTTACTGTTGTGTATATTCCTACAGAATTCATTAGGATGCACTGTACTTCCAACCCTGATTGGTGGATGCCCTCGGAGGAGCAGATAAACAAAGTGTTCAGCGACGCTGTGGGTCACGCCCGGCAGGGGCGGGCGGTGGGGACTTTCCTGCACAACGGTGGCTCGTTTTATGAAGGGATTGATCACCAGGCTTCACAGGATGAAGTCTTCAATAAAAGTTCACAGGATGGATCTGGGGATTAGTGGACAGAATCTCCCACTGTAGCAGCCAGTCCTTTTAAGAGCTCCAGTTGTGAATGTATGTTTACTGCCACCTGAGAATCCAAAGCATGTTATTCTGTCATACTTTACACATCCTCAACCTTAAAACTGTCTTCACCTATTGCTACCACTCCCACATAGAAACCCATTTTAGGGTTATTTGGGAAGTCTCTAGCACCCACAACAGACTTCCAGACTATTATATTATAAAAAGAAAAACTACGTTTGATATAAAATGATTCTTGGCTAGACACTAAGGGTGAAAAAGTAGGTTACCTGCCCCAAATCTTCCAAGTCAGCCCTGCCTCCTGAGCAGAGCTGGTCTCCAAGGAAAGGTAGGTTTGTGCTCCTGCCTGTTGGAGGAGCTAAGACATGGAGTTATTTAAGCATTGTCTTACTTAATTCAAATAAGTTGTCTTTATGTTTTCCAAAGATTTAAATTCAGATTTCTGAGCAAAGACACAGGATAGGTTACAAGGTCTATTATACATCACAAGGTATATTGTTAACAAAAAGCCAGAGAACAGACAGAGCCCATCTGTATGACAGTAGTTAATTGGAAGTTAGCTACTTTTCTGTTAGAAAACTTCGCTGTGTTGATCAGGAAGGTACTACGTGTTCTCTGGAGTTTACAAACCGTAGCTCTTCACTATGTCAGTCAAGAAACATCCAAAGATCCAAAACCATTTTCAGATGCTCGATTTCGTAAGTTCATAGATCCACAGTTTCATAGCCTCAGGCTTTGTTGACACAATGCCATAATGATGGGTTGAACAATGAAACTTCATCACAGTTTGGTGCACTGAAGACCAAACACATAGTGAGACTGTGGTGTCTACTACATTAACTAGAGATGCTGGCATTGTAGACAAAGCTTAAAGGCCATTCTGACAACTATGCAATGAGCTTGTCAGTGATTTCTCTGAAATTCAAGGGCCTTTCTGTGCTGACTTGATGTTTAGAATTTATATGAAACTTCTGTTTTGTTGTCAGTTTCATTGTCATTGATGAGAATGTTTCATCCTTACTGTGCTTATCTCTCTTTCCCCTAGCATTCCCTCGAACTCTCCACTCTGGCTAAGTTAATACTGTTCCTCTCCCACCCACTTTAATTTGTTTAGCTCCATCTGTGAAATTAGTGGTGTCTTTGGAACCTTCCCTTACCAGCAAATGCTACAGAGGTGCTAGAATCATTTCTTCTGAGAGTTTATCTTTGGAGGCGAGGAGAGACTCCTATTACCAAGCTAGTTCATATCACTACATTTTTTGTTGATCAAAAAGCTGAATGGGCAGCATTGCAATAGCAGCCTTATTGGAGGCTATTTATGTCATCTCCTACACAACTAAAAGTTTTGAAGATGGGGCAGAAATTTAAATTTATGAGTACCCATTTATAAAGGATTTTGGACACTTTTTGTTGAAGTAAAATCATAGATTTGTGTCCAGTGTGTACAAAATCCTAGCAGCAGGTCCTTCTCTGGCTTTCTTTTGATGATTAGCTTTCATCCATTGAGAAGTTTGATGCTTATGGAGGTAATCATTTGCAAGATTTATTAAAAGGTGTAGATAGAATCACTGTTGGAATCCTGTTTTGGCCAAATTAGCTGTAAAGTTTGAAAGTAAAAGAAATGATAGAGTCAAATGTGATGTTGCTTATGGCAACCATGAGAACAGTGTCTTTGGCTATCTGAGGTAAAAAGATACTTCTTGGGGTATGTTAAAGGTCTGGGCAGTCAATCTTCAAGATTCTTTGATGACAGGGAATCTTGGTCAGAAGGACAGCATTGTCTCATCTGCCTTTCCATCTGATTTTTTGCTGAATACATTGTCCTTTTTTCTGTAGCACCAATATTTGACCACTGTTTTTAAGAAAGGCAAAGTTTGGTTCTGCACACTTCTTCCTATCACCTTAGAGTGTCACATCCTGGAGCCCTGTGTGGTACTGGTCCTTGCTGAGTGGATGAGAGCAACTTGTACATCACTTTTGTTGCTTTACACAATGATATGCCTGCACCAGCACCTTGCAGGGAGGGGAGGACGGGAACCTGCAGATGGCTGTTATTTTCACCATCTGTGAAGGCACCTGTGCTAGACTTGTATACCACCTTTGCTTCTAAGGCACTTAGAAGCTTGCTTCTCCTCATTATTCTAGGTGAGTTATTTCTCTATCAGGTGTTTTACAGTACATCACAAATTCTAAAATGTGTTGGAACTACGTGTCAGCCATCTTGCATGTAAAGAAACCAAGACCCACAGAGATGATGTACTAAACACCCAAGCCAGTTCTAATGTCTCTCTCGGATCTAGGACCTGTGATTCTCCACCCAAGTCAGGTGTTCCATTATACTTAGCATTGTTCATTTCCTTAGCCTAGTATATTGCCTGACCCTAACAGCCACTTATACTGTGCTTCAGCCTCAGCTCAGATATTCTGCTGGCTCCTGTCCTTAGCAAATAGCCATTTAAAGCTGATGTGTTACCTGGGTTCATGATGGTTTCCTGCATGGTCACCTGATTTGAATCAGAGCTTACAAAGGATGTCCATTTGCTTTCCATTTGGCCTCTACGTGGCAAGCTTAAAAGCTCACCACTAAAGTTTGGATGCCATTGTTTTCCAGCCTTTCAGTTGCTCTCTGGAGATCTGAAGATACTGTTTATTTATCTTAATTTGGTTCTTCACATTTCTGGCTGGCACTTGGTCACATTGCTCTCACAACAAGAATCCTAGTCTTAATACCAATTTTTAGAATTCTCCTTGAGTCATTTTAGTAGTGGTGTGAAATAGATTGAATTAAAACAGCTCAGGATGTAGTTGTGCCACAGGTTGGTCTGACCACAATATGACTAAGTGATGTTTTTGTCAGAGTCTAGATGGGTTCAAAGTCCCAGCTATCTGGTCCCATCCACAGTCTTAAGAGCAACAGGGAGGAAGCACAAGTCATTTCCAAATGAAAATGACATGGGTCACTGCCTGCCTTTTACACTGAACTCTGAAGCCCAAGCAAAGTTCTCCTTAGGCTATAGAACCCTGGAATGACTTGTATCGGAGGACCAGGAACCCATGGAAGGCAACAGTAGAATCTTATGGTTTAGCCTCCATGTCAAGTGCTTTCAAGAAAAACTGCAAACATTTCAATTTGTAGCTTTCCTTCTTGCTTAAAAGTGTTTTCTTCAGCCCTTGTACCTTTGTGTCACTCTCGGTGTTCCTCATTCCACCATAGCAGTTAGGTGACTGTCACCATTTCTGTTTCAGAAGGCTTCACCAGGAAGCTAGGGATAACATAGTGCAGAAAGTTGTTGCCATGTCCTTTGATAAGAAGTAAGAGAGACATGTAGCCACTTCACAGCCTTAGCGTAAGGGGGCAATTTTATATTGTGGGTCACTTCTTATCCCTTTGTCAGTGTTGAACACATTGGTAGAAGACAGTCACTCATCAGGATTGTAAGGAAATACATAAGGTACTATAGCCTTTTATTTGAACCAACTACTGTATGTGGCATCAACAAATGGTAACTGATGTTGATAGAATGTTTAAGTTCAGTAACTCTTCTTATAACACCAGCTGTTTACACAAAATCTGGACAGTAATCCAAACTTTGGAGTCTGCAGTTTTGTGATGTCTGCATTTCCCTGACACTTTCAGTGACTTGTGCCTCCTTCCTGTTGCTCTTAGACTATGGATGAAACATCATGTAAAGGTGAAACATATACTACATTGAGAAAAACAAAACATACATTACCCTCATTTGCATTCTGTTTTGTTTCAGGTGCTGGGGGTTGAACCCCAGGCCTCAGCCCTCATTTGGATTCTGTTATTCAGTATGTGCTCTAGACCTAAACCTAATGCCCACTGACTACCTCCTTAGTTTCATTTAGATTTCAGTTATCTCAAAAAAGTGTCATTCTTAGAAAACTTCATTTTTAGAAAAGATTTAAATGTATAACCTTCCTCATTCAGTGCTGTGTCATTTCATAGTGCAGATCTGTGTAGTTTTTGACAGCTCTTACATACGGATTTGTAGAAATGTAATAGAAAATGATTTTGCACATATGGTGCAAGTCTTGACGGTGTATGTTTAATGTGGTGACACTTGCCAAAACTGCTTGGCAAAACATGTCAAATAGAATGCTTGAGTTAGAACTCTAATGTAAATGTGTCTAAACAGCAGTATGTATCATTATGATGTATTTTTGTAAACATAGTGATGGCTTCTTTCAGTCATGTAAGTACTGGATAAAAATAACCACTTCACTTGAAATAATGGAGGAGAATGTCACCCAGCTGCTGGCAAAGCTATGTGTATTGTCAGCCAGTGGTATTGGTTCTTTTATTTCTGTTTTTTAGAGAAGAGAGAATTGACATCAGACAACATGAAGAGCAAAAATAATACTTTTTAAATGTGAATCTTGAAACTTCAGCTGATATATTTACACACTAGATACCACTTTACACCCCCCTCCCTCCTGCTCTCTCCCTCCCTTTCTCCCTCTCTCTCCTTCCCTTTCTCCGTTCTTCCTTACCTCCCTTCTTTCCTCCCTCCCTTCTTCTTCTCTCTATCTCTCTCTCTGTCTCTCTCTCTCTCACACACACACACACACACACACACACACACACACACACACACACTATTGAATTACAAGAAACATTGAGAGGACAGTTTGGTCAATTGAAAGCACTAAATTACCAAATCTTGCAATAACAGTGATAAGATTAATTTTCCTCATAAGTATCCATAGCTGGATAATATAGTGACTGTTTTCATTAAGTCATAATTTCCCAAATTGCAATGAAAATACATCTGCTAGTAAGACCCATTCGCAAACCTGTTCCTTTTCAGATTCTCAGAATAATTGCACCAGTACAAATGGCCAAATGTGTCTTGGCATGTTGAAAAACAGTTTGGGCCAATTTGCAACATTTACTACAACAATGGTTAACTATAGATAACTAACAAATTAACTATTGAGTTCTTAGGTGTCAGTTGCTTTGATAAGCACTTTAATGTCTTCTCCTTTTCATCCTCACAGCTGCTCTTTGAGGGTGTTCCTGTTATTATCT